AAACAAATTGCAATGGGACTTCCTGTACTGGTTTCAACTATAATGTCTTAAACATCAATAGGATGAATGGGATCCATACCCTATTCCATAGCATTGATCAGTCATGATGAGTCATCAGACGTTCTCGAACGAGTCGGGATCATTTAAAAAATTTAATTCGTCTTAAAAAGTTAGTAAAATGTGGTACAAATAGCACTTTTACACAACGATGCCTTCAAATTTTAACCCCATTAGAAAAGCAAAATTAAAAAATATGTCGATGTTGGTTTTCTGAGGTACAGACTTCTGATTGTCCGTTGTGCTTTCAATATTCGTTAATCTTTTGAATTTTTGTGTTATTCGATTACATAATACACGATTATATACAATATATTAATCCTTAATGATTAATATATTATATATATTCTCTGATGATGGCTTTGGATTAATACACGATTTAAGATCATGATTCGTGATGCGAAGTCAAATAAAATAATTTACTTCAAATAAGAAATTTCAGTATGTGTCACCTATACGATGGAAATAAGATAAAAAGAACAAATGCAATAGAAGACTACACAAAGTTGCTAACAAGCTATATTTGATTTCCTTTACATGAATATGAAGCTTAATTATCCAAGTGGTACGAGCAATTTCTAAATTCGGACAGCTTTTTACAGGAAGTAAACTTTTGCCTTGATTTTGGAAAAATTGACTGTTCTAATAATTGACGCTTTTATATACAGTGCACACACCTCTACTGATTAAGATACATAAATTTGTATTCAAAAATTGAGCTGTTATATTCATGATGTTATCTAGATAAATTTTTCATTTTAGCTCCATTCAAAACGTAAATCTAGTGTTCCACGGAATAGCGGGTGCAAATGACTCTAAATCAACAAAAAAAATAAAAGTAAAAATAAAGCTAACACTTATGATTTGCATGTTTGTTTCTTCATCGTTTCCTGTATTTTCCCGAGCTTATCAAAGATAACAGTCTTCTTCTTTTCATACTCTTTCGCTCGCTTTGGATCGCCTTTTTTTTTCATAAAGTTGGGAAAGAAGATCGTAGATTTCAGCGAGCTGCGGATGACTTTCTGACTGGAAGTTTTCGATCATACTCGAAGTTTTTAAAAGATTTTTTTCTGCTTTCTCAATTCTTCCAAGTTTGAATTGACAATTACCCATAATCAAGCAGATCGTAGCAATTCCTGGATTATCAAATCTTAGGACTTGCTTCTTTCTGTTTTCCAAAGCTTGTTGTGCGTAGGTTAAGGTTTCATCGTAGTTTGGTGGATCTTGTAACAAATTGTACTTGGCTAAATTTTCCAATACTTGAGATATTTTAACCTTATCTTTGCCCTTCTCGATCATTTTTTTAGCTTTTGTTAGGCTTTTGAGTCCTTCAACATAATGGCCGTTTTCAAGTAAACACAATCCAACTTTGTTAAGTGATTCGGCGACAAGATGAGGATTACGTTTTTTGTTCACTTTTCCTCAAATCTTGGGCTTGGCGAACATACACAAGAGCGTCGTTCTTCATTCCAAGGCCTAAGAAGCATAATCCAATATTATTAAGTTTTTCCGCCTTCTCAATGTTATCCAAAGTAAATTCATCCAACTCGTTGTAAAGATTGGCAGCTTCCTCAAAATTCCTTGTTTCTGCTTGCAATATGCTCTATTAATTAATACTTGAATACGTTTCTTTTCACATCCGAATTATAATCGAAAATTTTTTCCAGACAGTTTTCAGCATCGTGATAATGAAAGGTTTTCAGGTAACAGTCAGATTTTTCAATCGAGTTATCAACAATCAGGTCATCATACCTTGAGTGATCGTACTTTGAATTATCAAGATACTCATCAAGATCCTTTATGTTGGCTTCGAATAATCTGATCTCTTGCAGATATTCTCCTTTTTCTTTATGGCATTTTGCAATATCAAAAGAAAACTTAAACACAGCATAAGAATCGCTGAGTTTCCTTTGTAGTTGTTGACCTACTTTGTAAGAAACAATTGCCGAACCGTCCTGCAGCTTTAGAAAGATGTGCTGCAACACTCAGCGAGGTATGGGGATTTTCTAATTTTTTTTCCAGGAACATAAGAACGACAAACATTGCAGAAGCGAGCACGTCAAAGAGAAACATTTCATTATCAAGCTTCTCTTTTTCCATTGCATCTATCATCTTTTGGGTATCATCTTCATCGAATTTGAAACCCATCAATTTTTCACCACGAGGGAGCAACCTTTGAAACAAAATATCCTTATAATTACTATTTGCCACAACATCTTCAAACACTGCCCTTGCATCGGTGGATAGATTCACAAAATAGCGCAACCAACTTAAACGACTACCATTATTAGAAACTTCCGGACTCAAAGAGGGAGGAGGTGCAACCGATAAAGCCGAAACTACTTTTGCAGAATTATTTTCACTTGCAAAAATTTTACTAGCTCGACCAATCGCCTTTATTAAGGGACAATTTCCACCGATACCTCCGTCGACAAAGTATTCATCGCCAATTTTGACTGGAGTGTCAAAGTAAACTGGAGCGTTTGAAGTTGCAAGCAAGACCTCCTTGGCTTTGTAATTCCAGTAGTCTTCGCTTGATGTATCAAACAGTACGAGACCTTCTTTTTCTCCTAGTCTTCTTGCAACAACTCCAGCCACGGATTTAGAAAGATCCTCTCCACTAAAATCCCTTAGGTAGCAATCACCAAACTGTTTATGCAGAATTTTCTCCACGTTATCTTTCGAATCTGCTACCAGTGGAGTATTGAGCAACCACGATACGGGTAAAACAAGCCATTGTAGCCATGACTTTCTGAACATGTCTTTATCTTTTGCGTGATATATTTGAATGCACTCATCTATAGTCATCCATTCCCTTGCATGGTGATCATTCCCAACTTTATTTCCACCAACTAAACTAAATGCAATTAAACCTCCTATACTGGTACCAACTATAATATCGTAAACATCTGTGGGATGAATGGGATCTTCAACTGCTTCCATATCTTTGATCACACGTTTTCGAACGGCACGATTTTTTAAGAAATTCACTACGCTTTCATCATTCTCTTTGTTTTTAAGGTAGTTTAGCGTCTCGGGATTTCTCAAAACAATTGTTGCAAGTCGTAAAACGTCGTCCAGAATTTTTAGTTCCATCACATCTCGACTTCCTCCACCATCAAAAGACAATATGTTGATTTTCTTTTCTGTTGAATCCCTTTTGAGGTTTGAAATCTGTATAAAAAAGTTATTATGCAGAATAATTCAGTTATTTTAAAAACTTTTCACCAGTCATTAAGTTTTAAATAGACGCTGGGCCACTATACCATTTAACAAAACTTGTTTCAATTTACACACTGACTTCAGTATTGTACAAAGGAGGAATTGCGATGGGCGTAAGAAATCACAAAGAAAATGATTGGGCTTTCCTCAATTTTTGGAAGTATACTACATGTGTATGTTGTACTTGAAATAAACGCACTCTTAAGATAACTTCTAGATAGAATTTTAATCCGTATAATGAGAAAGGAAGAAGTAGAATGGTACTCAAGAGAAGTGCAAGTAGAAGAATGAGAAAAGTCTAAAATGATATAATACATGTTTGTGAATGAAGAGTGACCCACGTAAAAATGTGAGACTAGAGAAAAACCATTTTTAAGATTTTACAGTTACTAAAACGAACAAAGCTTTTGTGGACAACTCCTTACTCCTTTTCGTGTTGAGATACCATCCTATCAACAATAGCTGTCCATGAGCCATTCTCCTGATTCAACTATATTAATATACACGTGCATGCAGACCTGCCAATTCTCCCGGTTTCGCCGAGAGACTCCCGCTTTTGCTGCATTTTTCCCGACCTCCCGACAAAGATACTAAATCTCCCGGTTTTTTTAAAGCTTAGGCTTTTAGAAGTTTGTTGGCATTTTTATTCATCGCATGGAAAGAAATACTCGATGAATAGCATTCAAAATATAACGTGTTGTAGCCGCGGTGCGCCGGGAACTGGGCATGACATTGATTTTCGTTTTTTCGTATAATTATTTAACACAAAAGGGCTGCCAGTTAAAATTTTTGTCCATAACACTTGAGGTAATCATTGCCATTTGCCTAATAAATCAATCTAAAAATATGTCGTATACAAGAATAGAAATCTCCAGTTTTTTTGCCAGATCTCCCGGTTTTTCTGCATTAATCTCAAGGTTTTGTAGTCCTTGGGGTTGGCAGGTCTGGTGCATGTAACATTTTAAAACGCACCTCTGTCGACTGGAGTGAAGTGATTGTTATTCCTACAAGAAATTTTCCACGATGCCTCTGCAAGCCATGACAAAATGATCGTACGAATTTCAAAGCAAAAGTCACAAAATGTGACATTAATCTTTACTGTTTTTCAAAAAGCAACCTGACAGAAAGATACAACGACAAAGCATTCTAACAGGGACTTCTTAAACTATGATTTAAATCATTTAAAATCTCTCGAAGAACAATGTTTCGTAATTATATATTTATTTCATGGACATCTCTGGACTTTTGAAAAGATTTTCCACTTTAGGGGATTTGCGAGACAAATTCCACAATATCTAAACACCCGCCAATTTTACGTATAACCACATTCAATGCTTAAAAGTATGTTTTCTTAGAAGTTTATTTTTCAGGAGGAGTCACAATTTTTCAGATATTTTACACATGACATTGCCAAATGAGGTAAATATAGAAGAGCACAGGGGCCGATTGCTCGAGGCATGGATAGCGTTATCCATTGCATAGAAGCAAATTTTTTTAAATGGTTAAAAAGCTTCTTAAAAAGGTAAAATGTAACGTTTGAACTGAGCAATCATTATAATGAAATATTGCTTCTAAGATAACAAAGTTTCTTGGTCGTATGCAACTTTTAACTACTACGCTTGTTGTTATGTCGACAGGATTTCGCCATTTTTGTCACCTATTTTTGTAAATACGGCAAACTCGCGTTCTTTTACAATTTTGCGATAAGATGGCCGGTTTGTCAATAAGATCTCCCAGTGCGTGCCTGCACATTTGCAATTTATTTATTGCAAGATTCCTTAATGTGATTACAGTTGATTTGGCCTTTCCAAGTTTTGTCACGAACCTCGGTCATAAGTTGTTGCTAAGTTCATAAGTATCATCCAATCAAATTTTTTTTTTAAAATGATAGCCGGTTACGAAAGTCTATCTAAACATTTGAACTTTTACAATACAAACGAACTAACTTGACTGCAGCTGGTTGGATGTTTCACATTATGTCACACGTTGTAGCTCTCGGGCTTGTGACATATATATGTTGGTTTGCAGTACCCGGAACAAGTAAGACGTCATTGACATTTTTTATAATAAAGCTTAATTTACATTAGCAACCTACATTGTTAATGCCAATAAGTCAAATAATGGCATTCAATTATTTCTGATCAAATGAGTTTCTTTAACTTGTTTACATTTAGTAAATATTCTTTGACAAACATTTTGTTTGATTGTTTTGATGATTTGATATTTGATATACCATCTTCTTTAATTTCCATGATTTTACAAGATGGGGGTGGGTGGCAACATAACAAATTTTTATTGCACTTTTATTGTTACCAATCAAAGTTTCCAGCACAAATGATGCAGGGGCCTCTGATTAAAGTTTGATCTGAGCCCCTGCATGAAGTTTAACTCAATAATGTGCTAAACTTCAGTAGATACACAGCCACTTACAGATTTTGGATTGCCATTTAAACTCCCAAATTATGCATTTTAATCAATTGTTTTGACAATCAGTAATCATTGAAACATTTACCTTACCTGGTTTGCTTCGCGACAGCATATCATGAGACACAATAAGTTTTCCTTACTTAATGTCATTACTTACCTTTCATTGTACAGGTCTATTTTCATGGCATCCGACACTGATGATACTTGGTGTGAGTAAATTGTAAGAGATAATATACCATCAAATTTTCATCATCAATTACCAATAACCAAGCCAACAAATATGCATACAACTTTTAAAAGATTTAACTATAATAAAAAAATATTGGATGTTTTGAATGTAATGTAAATCAGTGTGACCAGATTTGTTAGTTTTTAATACCAGATCTGCTCTGGTGACCTTAGACAGCCCCACCTGATTATTTAAATAATTGAAACAGGGGGACATTCTACACAGATCAACACATTAGTCATAATAAATTAGTCATGTATGGTCACACTCATGTAAAATTGTGTTACATAATGTACAGTTTTTGTAAGTAAATAAAATGAGATAAGTCTAATATGCAATAAAATAAATAGCAGAATGCTAATTACTTGATTGTTTTAGAAATCAACTTTCAAAGTTTTGTGTTAACATATGGCCTTAGTACTGGTAGAGCTAAGAATGTTTTACATCTTAATTTTAGTTTGGTTTTTTCATGCTGGAGGCAATTCTAATATTTTCAAAAAACAGTAACCTTTTCCCAAATGCAACTCGAGCAATCAAGGTTCGGTGCCATTGGATCCTCCAAATTTTGGCAACATCTTGTGCTGTTGGAGGATTTCTTGTCATCTTTATAAACAAGAATCAAAGCAATAAGCCACATTTCATATCCTGGCATGGCATTCTTGGAGCCATCACTGTGTTCCTAACATGTATTCAAACATCCATGGGTACTGGATTACTATATCCCAAATTACCATTATTTAACACATTAAAGTTAGTCACATTCAAGAGACTCCCCGCTTTATCCGGAGCTCTTATTTTTATTCACAGTTGTTTGGTAATTTTCCTAAGTCTCTATTCAAATTGGTTTGTAAGGAAGGCTAGGTTGCATACTTTTAGTTGGTGGACATGTGCTGTTTGTATTACACTGCCAGCAGCCTTTGTAAATAACCAAATTGCGCAAGCGTATTTGTTTAAGAAAAAGTGATGTAATCAACTATCACAACGTTACAGTCGCATAAAAAAGTAATAAAATTTATACCTTGAAGCACTGGTCACCATGTTGGAAAAGTTTCATTAAATACTTTCTCTTTTCATCTGCTTTTTTTGTGTGTTTTTCATTTTTATCCCCTTATTTTCATGAACATTATTTGCAAAATACCTCATGACATTTTTATTTGCAATCCTAAATCAGATAAATTTGCCTTATTAGATTTATGGTCAAATAATACGACAAGAATACTTTTATTTTCGGATTTTAGCAGTGGATTTTATAGATTTTTTACAATTTTAAAGTGTAAGATGCATGATGGTAATATTATCAAGTTATACTAGTTTTAATAAATTGACTAGAATAATTAATTATAAATGAAACTGAATGAATTAACAACCAACATGCAATACATAGCAAGTTTTCTTTAATAATTCAAGAGTTTTCCTGATTATCAATATCAGCATTATTGCACAAAATGTCGAATTATTGAAAAATTTCGTTGGGCATATTAATCAAATGGTGGCAAGATTGTTCCATTAGAACTAGTAGAACAAGGTTTTTCCGGATGCTCAAAACTAAATTACAAATACCACACAATCATAAACAGATATTAGGCCAGTTGAAAGAGGAAAGGCGAGGTTGGGCAGGCGGCAGCACTCCCTCCAACGCTTGAATTGCAAACAACCTCCACGGAATTATAAAACAATGGGGCTCGCCCACTACGGTTGGTGCTCACAATGGCATTGATAAAGTATTCTTTTGTAACTGTTCGCCAACATGGCGGCCGTAACGTGCATGCAAACCACACACTTATTTACTTTAAGATGTTGAAAAATTTGAACATCCCACTTTCTCCTCAAATCTCTGAATGTCGTCCCACATTTAGACACCTCCCTGCTCTCCTTTAATCTTAATTTGCTTCCGACGGATCTAAATATAATACAGGAAAATAAGAGAGTTATTATCGAATTTAGTGAACTGTGGCCATGTTTATTCGAAAACATTTACCATATAATATTTCATAAACGCACGAGACATTTGAAAATTTTATCGGTTTTTTATTTGGGGGGGAGTGGTGTGGAGTGACACATACGGTGCGTGTAACATCATTTCTATCACTATTTGCAATAAATTTACATCTAAATGGTTGAATGAGCTAAAATTTTATAGGATAGGGGGAAGGCCGACTATTTTTCCATCACATAGATCAACATATAACCATCGCATGCAACCCTCGACTACGCAAGTAAATAAGAATTATTTCAGTGAACTTCGAAAACAAATAACGCAAGACAAAATTAGTAAAACTGACAAAAGCAATCACAACAACTCTTAGAATACAACATTTATTCATATTACTTTTCGACAAACAATGGCACGATCACTAAATAAAAATTCGATTACAGCAATAACCTTAGTGTAGTTATTTATGAAAAATAATATCTCAGCTCCACGTAAAAATAAAAAATTTACAGGAAACATGTAAGATGAAATTTAGTCGAAAGTATCTTATGCTGAAGTTGGATTATTTTTCCATGTCAATTTAAATGTTTCTTCAACATCCCTAGCCATATTTGCTATCTCTTCGTCTATACTTATCATTTTTCCTTTGTAACTTTCCGCAATCGACATATTGCCCTTTTTTCATATAAATCTTGGAGAGAAGCTTGTAAACTTCAGCCAGCAATGGATGATTATCTGACAGCAAATGTTCTATCATATCAGCAGCCTTTAAAACATTCTCATTTACTTCTTCAAAACATCCAGCTTTGGAGAGACACAAACCAATGGTCGACAGGATTATTATTATCACCCACATTTCTCCCCGTATTATCTAGAGATTGTTGTGCGTATTCCATTGCACAATTATGATTACCTGGATGTTTTAACGACAGACATATTGTTAAATTTCTTAATACCATGGAAATTTTAAGTTCGTTTCCGAGTTTATGGTAGATATTTTTAGCCTTTATTAGATTATTATATGCTCTGTCGTAGTCACCATTCTCCATCAAGCATAACCCAACATTGTTAAAAGTTCTGCCACTAGAAGATCATATTTCTGTTCTCTTTACCTAACTCTCATATCTTTGGCTTGCAAAATGAAATGGCTGGCATATTTTTCATTCCAAGACTTAAGAAACATAACCCAACGCTATTTAAATCTGTTGAAACTTTATGTAGTAAGCAAATTTCTGAAACATTATCAATTATTATTTCACTTAATTTTTTGTACCACACATATCTTATTACGCATTTCAATTATAACTATAAAATATCAGGCAGACAAATGGGACAACTTGCCTTTTCTGGCCAATGGGCCAATGCTGCATCAATTTGCACTTTATTTCTTACTTATTACGTATTTATTTCACTCAGTGTTTCGGGACGTACACCCGAAGGCCAAAATCAAATTAGAAAAGAAAGTTCGATGTTTAGTAATAGCAATGTTAAAAACAAACCCCCTGCTTGGTACCAAATAAGGACACTGTTTTTTTCCAAAACAAAACGGAGGGAAAACCAGCGGATTCAGTAAAAAACCCTCCGAAGAAAAAAGCAAGCAATTTTGGGAGATATTACCTCGTTTAAAATTAGGTAAATTATGTTTTCCGTTTTATATTTCGGGCAATATTTTGTAATCCAAATGATCCAGTGGCGAAGAAAGGCAGCCCGTTTTTTATTTTACATTGCATATATAGTTTTGCGTTCAATCATTCCATAAATATTGAGCGGAATTGAGTCTCTGATTAAAAAAATAATTTTGATGAAAAAGATGCATTTTAGGACATGAAACTTGGGATCGCTTAGATTTCGCCCTTACATTGAAGTAGCCAGACTATAAGTTTCAATCCTACAATTCTGTTTTAAGAGACCATGCATTACAAATGACATTGAAAAAATAGAAATTTTGATAGAACATAAATGCCTTAGCAAGCAATGGATGCCAAAACTTTTGAATCGATGAGAAAACGAGGAACGAAAATAATTACATTCTATGCATAACAAATGTCACACTTAAAACTATGCAATATTAGCACATGCGCATATAACAATAAAATAACTAAAGTGACGTCACATATATTATGGAATTTCGGTTTGAAGTAAAGCCAATGCTATTCGATTTTACTTTTTTAAAATCTTGATTTATTGAAACATTATCATTAGCTGTCTTTCACTTGTGAGCTTTTTTGAAGACTTTTTATACGAAAGTACAGTTATGCATGCATAAACTAGGCATCTTTATAGAGTGCGTTAAAGAATGGAAAGATATCTCTATGAGTCGAAAAATTTGCAGTGTGCATTCTTTTAGTAGAACCCTTTTCTTTACATCCTGTTCAATTTTTCCTTCGTCTACTTTCTGAACTTGCAATCCTTTTTGTTCTTTTGTAAGCAAGAATATGAACACATCGCCTAAATAATCAACGTCGAGAATGTCAATACACTGAATGAATAACTCGCAAAGTAAATAACAAATATAAAGAAGTATTACCTGATGTCCAAAGTTTCTTTCACCAAATTTTTTCGTCGATAAAAAAATGATGATGGTAAAAGTGTAACGCCATGCAAAACAAGACTAACAACTTGCAATGAGTGAAAGCCAGCTATTTGTTTGCAGGCACAAAGCCTTATTTTTTTTATCAAAAGAAACAGAAAATTCCATTTTCAAAATAATGCCTGTTTCCTATGGTTGAAGGCTTAATTCTAACAATAGACCATCGGGATTTGTTTTACTATACAGTCGTGCGACTTAATTTTATAAAACATTCTAAACGTGGGAAATACATTTTACTTACGCACCATAAAAACCTCAAGCATTTTCATTCATTCACTCCCTGGTCGTTTGTAGAATATGGTTTGTTTTCATTGTCCAACATGAATTGTCATAATTATGAGGTATAATAAAATCATTAGCCATCATATTGTTTATTTCTCAATACATCCCATTTTAAGTCAGCAATCTGGCACCATTTTTTACGTAAACCATGGTTCACTAACTTCGTCTGTCTTTCCAGGACACGACTCGCAATCACGGTCACATATAAAGATTTTCATTCACATAGCGTGTTAACAATTAAATTGAACACAATATTCGAATGAATAAGAACCTGGTTGAAGTCTTCACTGGTTAGCTTGTGTTTTGTTTTTCTTAAAAAATTTTTGAATGGAACAATAACTATTGTATTGAAGAGATTCAAATTACTAGTTGAACACACTCCAACATGTGACTCTTGAGAATATTTGTCTCACAACTTACAAAATGGGAACAGAAAAATTTTTTGCTTCTGACGGAAAATTTTTTAATTCAATACCACGCTGAAATGTAAATAATTGAAAAAACTTTTTAACAAAGTATTTTTAATGTCGTACTTCTCGTCGTACTTCAACTTCTCAATAAATGTATTACGTCATTTTTGTGAAAAACAAACGTAAAATCGTGACACTTATTACGCATATTGACGCCTAAATATTTTATTCATGGCATAAAAATGTGCAGAACTTTAGGGATTAGTCTTCTTAAGGGAAAAGCATGAACTAACCTTTGAGTAGATGAAGAATATTCTTACAGCCGTGGTCATTTAATTGTTGATATAAAAGGGTACCACTTCAATACCCCAGTTAAATCACTCCCCAAATAATGCTTTTTGTGGAGTCAATCTTCTATGAATATCAGTTGACCACCTTTCGATGGGAGGATATAACAACGGGGCGCATCATCATTATATGCACAAATAACTGACATGTCGACAAAGTATCCAACAAATAAACATTCTTGGCCATAAACCCCCCATGACACACGAGTAGTAAAAAACTAGTAAGAGTGATTGCATTGTAAATAAGGATAATGCTAAGTTGAAATTCAGGGCGGATCTAGGATTTTTCAAACGTCAGTCTTAAATTGGCAAACACATGAGGCGTAGGGGGGTTCGGGGGCATCGTCCCCTGGAAAATGTTGAAGCCTAGGGTCCCAGAAATGCGATTTCCAGCGTTTTGGAATAGCTCTACAACAAATTTTCAAAGTGAATGAAATCGCAGTTTTTCATTTTTTCATACAAAATATTGAGGACAAATACGCTAAGACCGTTTCGCCCAATGTCAGGGCTCTTCAG